TCAACACTGCTCTGTATTAATGTTGGAACTTTGGCCGATTTGTTTTAAAAATTTAGCATATGGCTGCATCATTTCGGACCGAAGTTTGGTTACAAAATCGAATGGATATTTCATTACAGAAATAAAAACCTACGCTAACTATAATTTTGTACATAAAATGGGCTGTGTTTAGTTATTCTAATATAATCTTAATTTTTCGCACGCTAGGTATATTGCGTTTTTCGGTTGACCCAGACATATATTTTTCCGTCGTCATTTGTTTGATCGCGAAATGTTCAATGACAAAAATAATGAATAAGTGAATAAAACGTAGGTATTGTATGATATAGGTGATGTCTATGTGTCTAATGTCTATAAACTCTATAATATATACTATAATATCCACGTCTGGATGTCGCATCGCATTGTCTTTGTCACGTGTCGTCTCTATAGCAGTGTTCGGAAGGAAAGCATTCCTTTTCAAATATAAGAGCGAGGAATGGGAAAGAGTTCCTATTTATGTGGAACGTGAAGGACGCAAATTTCCGTTCATTCCATCAAGAAAAAAAAAATTGTTTAGAAATTATTTAGTGTTGGTATCATACTTCATGATTTTGTGTCATGACTGTAAAAAGACATAAGTTAGTGATGCTTTGTTAGAAAAATATTAGTTTTTTTTAACTTAAACAAAACAAAATATTAGTGTAATAATTTTTTTTTCGTATAATTAATAAAATATTATATTTTGAATTTTGAGTAAATTGTTGATGAATTTGTTTTCAAGTAAAATGTTTTTTAATTTTTAATTTTTTAAGGTAATTAAAAATTAATTAAATTAAATTTATTAGGATTTCAAACACGTGAATTTTAAGAAGTAAGAATAGTTTCCGATTTGAGCTATTTTACCTTCCAAAATTTACACCAACCTACAACAGTAGCTACGCTCGTCCCCGGTATCTTTTTTTACGAGTGTATAATATGCGTATTCATAAAAAAAAAAGGTACGCTTAATGGATAAGGAACAGAAACGAGTTCTTTTTATGAATGAGGAACGAGAAACGGGAATGAATTCCTTTCTAAAAGCAATTTTCCCAACACTGCTCTATTGAGTATAGGTGTACGTACACATGTATTATACACATATGATGATTTACCAAACGCGTTACACATTGCATTATTATTTTAATGGTACGATACGTAACTATATTATCTTTGGTTTTTTTTTCCGTCGTTTTTGTTTCATACCCAGTACATTCATAATGACACTGTATATAATATTACGCGATGAGATACATACACACATACACACACACATACACACATAGGCGATGATGAAAACAATATGTCAGTGCTCGTACGCCGTAATAAATAATAATGAAATCCTTTATTATAACAATCTATATAAATACTACGCGTCTACGCGCAAGAGTACGGAGCGTCCGCGATGCCCTGCGCACCACGCCGTTCCACACTTCAGTGGTGTGTACGCCCACGGCCGCTCGGGCGATAAACTCAATAATAAAATTCACGACTCGATTTGTCGCATACACATACGCATACAATATTATTATATGATATAATACATATACACAAACCTATACCTAATGTAGGTACGTACGCAATGTGTTGTAGGTTTTTTTCAGTCTCGTACTCATACACACATACACACACACACACACACACACACACACACACACACACACACATATAAATTATTAAATACGAAATTTTTATTACGAGTGTAGTTTAATATCAATACAAATTACGTATATACCTATACTTGAGTATTTGAGTACTTACTCATTATTGTCGATACGATGAATTACCATGACTGATAAGTGATAACTGTTATTATAAATTAGTTCATTAGATATACAGTTTGCCTAATAGGTAGTAAATTGTACTTTTACCCCTTCTCCTTTCTTCCTTTATATATAATTATTAACTATACAGCAATAATGCAATGTATAATATTATAGTCTATAAACTGATTGATAATTATTAATAATTGATTCTCCGAGATGACCACAGTCGTATATTACGAATATAATTATTATACGCAATTACATTCTTATGTATTTTAAAAAATTGCCCCGGAACAATCGGTTCTCAATTGATTTATTATTACAACTTATTTTTTAATTTTTGAAAATTATATACTATAACCTGCTGCACAATATACTTAAACCGTTTGAATGAACAGAATTAAAAATGTATTGTACTAGTACGATTTTAGATTTTAGAATCTGAGTGATGTGAAGAATGTATTAGTTTTTTTTTTTTTTAATATGTACACTTTTTCTTGTAATATGCTTTGTGGTACATACTTCAATGTATAAGATTTAGACCCTTTTCTGAAAGGAAATTGTCTTGAAGTGGTACATTAGAGTGGTCAATTTTAGATTTTCTCAGACGTTTTCTCATCAAATTGGAAAAACCGAAAAAAAAATGGGAAAATATATGACATAAATTACTAAAATATTATGATTTTTATTTCTATGTAAAACTTTTCAATCAGCAATTTTTCTACAACTTATAATGATAGGAATTTTTCTAAAAGGAAATTTAACTATGGAGGTACTTTAAAAATGTAATTTTTCAGTTTTTTGAGAAGTTTTTTCCTCAAATATGAAAAACCGAAAAAAAGAGAACTGATACTGGGGATTACAGCGGCCACTGTAGTAGATGAGAAGTTGAAAAGGTAGAATACTTAGGGGTTTTCATAATTTGAAGTGCCGTAATGGCGTCGAAAATGAAAAAAAGACATCCCAAAAGTCTAGACAATTTAGATAACTTGAACTTTCAGAAAAGTTACTAGACGTAAATATAGGAGGAAGTTTAGGAAGAAAAAACGTGCCAACAGACTAGAAAAAAAAAAAACAAAGAACAAAGAAGAAAAAAAAAGGAATAAATAGCATTGTAAAACCAATAACTCCAAGTTTACCACGTCTAGGAAATTCCAAAGTAAGTATTATTAACAAGTTTTCAGTCTTGATGTTCATTTTTTACCAAATAACAGCAAAAAAACTTTAAAAAAAATTGAAATTTCATAAAAGCTCAGAAGAAGCTGAAAGTTTGTGAATTGATACCTTAAGAAAGTAAAGAGAAAAAAAAAAACAAAAAACAAATGGTGTGAATTTTCGATTACATTATTTTTTCTAAAAGAAAACGTCTGTGTTTTTATGTATTTCATTATTTATGGAATCGGGAAACTGAACGTTTTCCTACGTTTTTTTTATATAAGTGCTTTAATTTAAAAAAAGCGTAAAAAATCAAATAATGAACTGTTTGAAGTACTGTCCAGAGAACTTGTGCTTTCAGATAGGTCGGAACGCTTAAAAATCAAAGCAATTTTACCAGGAAAAACCGTTAAAAATTTATAATGGGAAAATATAGGAATGTGTAGATCTTACGTAAAATATATTACGATCTTCTATTTTTAAATGTACAACTTTACGACCCGCAATTTTGCTCTAACAATAAAAAACAGCAATATTTCTAAGAGGAAATTATACTACGAAAGGTCTTTTATAAAGAAAAGTTTTTCTCATCAAATTTGATAGACCGAAAAAAAAACTGGAAAATATAAGAAAATTAGGTTTAATTTAATACTTATTACAGCCTTCGTTTTTTCTGTAATCCAATTTTTATCAGCAAATTTACTCAACATTTTAATAATTGCAATAAATCTCAAAGGAAGTTTCAATAATGATATGCTAAATGTGTTATTTATCGATTTTCTCAGGAGTTTTCTCATTATATTCGTTAAACTGAAAAAAAATAGATGATACTAGAGATGGGAGCGGCCACCGTTCAGGTCAGATGTTAGGAAAGTAGGATTAGTAAATTTTTTATTTATATCTGTATGCAGCGATAAACTATTGCTTGACGAAAGACGATCCGAGCGCAGTTCGGTTATGTACAATTTGATATGCTATAATTTTTTTTGCAATTTTCGGTCAAATCTGGTTTCAAAACTTGTTTTAAAAAAAAATATTCATCTGATAATTTTTCAAAATTTGATCACTTCTAGGAAATTCCAATTTAAGTATTGTTACCAAGTTTAGAGTGTTGATGTGCATTTATTACCGAATAACAGCAGAAAAACTGTTAAAAATTAAAATTCTATAAAAGCTCAGAAAAAGCTGAAAGTTTGTGTGATGATACATTAAGAAAGTAAATAAAAAAAAAAACAAAACAAAAAACGCGTCGTTTGAATTTTCGACTTCATCATTTTGTCTGATAGAAAACGTCGTCTGTGTTTTTATGAAATAATGGAATTGGAAAACTGTACGTTTTCTTCCTATAAGTGCCTAAATTTTTAAAAAAAAGCGTCAAAAATCAAATAATGAACTATTTGAAGTACTATCTAGAGAACTTGTGAATTTTTATATGTCCGGTATTTTTCGCTCAATGTGGCCAAGCTGCGTTTAATAATATTCCTGTCTAGGACACCATCGGCGGTCGTAGAGAACGTTGGGTCCCGGTACGGGAATACCTTCATTGATTTTTCGAACAATAGTTTTAATATTTTAATGTATGACATGTAAGTATTAATAGATTGGCCGTGTTGAACTCGTTTGTAAAACAGAGAACTTTGTTAGAACTGTATTCATATACAAATCGCACTAATGCTTACAGATCTAAATAATCAATTATTAATCCGACATTCAACAAAATATCCACCCAATGTTTAATGACGATGCCTTTTCTGACCATTGAATCTTGTACAAATCGAAATACGCGACTAATCGTTCTTAATTAATTTTTGTTGCTGGGCTGTTGCAGCCCAGCATCAGTAAGTTGTTTCAATAGATTGAAAAAACGAAAATAAACAAAAACATTATTATATTTATCGTTTGGAATACGATATTTCAAACTATTCATTTTCGAACCCTGGATAGTCTCTCGTTCTTCGACTTTTTCGTTGTCTTTCGGTAAGTCGTTTGTACTATTCTACTGATAATTTTTATAGCGATAAAGGAATTATTAATATTTCGAGATCGTGTACCTTGGGATACTCACGGAAACTGGATTATTTTTTCAATTTTATCTTCTTCCGTTTCTTCAGATTCTTCGGACGAGCTGCTTTCATGAGAGTTCGACTTTTTCCCTGTGGCCCGCAGGAAACACCTGGTCCTGTCAACTACTTCGGCTCCCGGTAGTTTCCAGTTCCCGGACCATAGGGAAACTAGCGTGAAACCAAATATCCTGAAAACAGCACGATATCATCAATATATGATTTATAATATATAACATTGTCTTACATATTTAAATTTTTTCTGAATTTTAAATTTTCCTACTTTTTACTACCACATAGTTGTTTTAATGTATTAATATTCATAAGTTTTTCTCCGTGTGCGGCCGCCCGTGTCACCAATCTCGTAATTTTTTCCGCTGTTTTTTGGATTGGGTGTTTCAGTATCTCGCTGTATACTTTGACAATTTGTCTTTTTAATTGATCTTGCATAATTGCAGTGCAAATAGACAGTACTTAACTGACTGTAAATTATAATAATGAATAAACTAACAAATTTAGTAAAATTAAAGAAATTTTTGATAGTTGATCACGCGATACTCACTCTGTTTAATGGTATATTGTTTTGAATCTTGTACGGTACCGATAGTCTGCTAGTACTCTTTGTGTTGAGGTTAGGTGACAAAACGATAAGCCCATTTGTTTCCTCCTTCTCGTCATCCGATGATGAATCGTCGAAAACTAAGAATATTAAAAATTAGTAATCTTAAATAATTAATAAAATATGAAGTTAAAATCATTACCACCGGCAATATTTGTATGTCCAAATTGCGGCGACGGTGTCCGGGATACTTTGGATGGCCTTGAAATAGGAGAAAATTCGAACGGGGTGAACATTTCGTCGTAAAACTAATGTTAAAAAAAATACAACTAATTGAACACATATCAGCAGATGAATTCCTTAGAGACATTTAGACGTAGCTGTCTTTACGTTTTGAAAATACGTATAATATTTTTTTTATAGGTACTTTTAATTACGATGTAGACGAAAAGAGTGTACGGGATAGTGCGTGGTGGTTTAGGTTATACGACGGGTATGGTAACATTAGCTCTTACAGGAATGTACAGATCATCGACGTTGTTAATAGCCATTTCGTTTTTGTAATAATGTGCATAATAATATTTTGTTGTATAGATAATATTAACAGATAGTGTCGGCGGTGTAAAGCGAGCGCGTGCGCACCCGGAGACGAAAAATATCACAATACTTATAAAATATAATAATCACAGGTATATGATAACGATTTGATAACAGTGGGTATTCGATAATGTGGAAAAAATATTTGGATAAAGGCGGCGTGGTTTATATAGGTGTAGTACGTGGTTCATGTAGGAAAACCAATATTTTGAAAAAAGGGGGTTAGGGGAAAATATATGTTGATGAAGAGGTGGACAATTCGGGAGGCCATTTATTAGGTAAAGCACCTTACACCAGCACCAGCACCAGCACCTGCGCCTGGCGTTGAACTCCCTATTTCCTACTACTTACGAAATTTCGAATTTTCGTAAAAATACTAATAATCTACGATTCACAATGACTCTATTGGTCTTTGTTCGTGATAGCTGGTCCCCGGGGTTTTGTGGCTGACGGCTAGTGGTGGGTCTTTTTGTTTCTTGACAGTGTGATAAATAATTTATGAGTAAGACCAGTAGGTATGAAAAATTAGTCGCAAACGTACGACTGATAGAACGGATAAGCTGATTCTTTCAACTGAAAAACACGTGGTCTGTAAAAACGTCCGAGCGATCGTGATAATGCGGGGACGGCGGCAGTAAACATCATGTTCCGTCAAGTTATAACAGTCGCGTGTGTTCGTTTAGATAGTATGTCAAACCTTCGTGGAAAGATCGACCTATTATTATTATGTCAATCACAGTATTTTTTCGAGCTTTCGTATTTAGTTGCTATCACGCGACTAAAAAAACTTTGGTCAAGCGAAAACACGGTGGAAGGTTTCGTACCGAACACTACTAGTGAAAATAACAAAGTTAGAAAATTAACGGTGTGTTTCACTACAATACAATACTAACGCTCTCGACACTTCCACGTTACGTGGGTGCTAGTTATTTTTCCTTTCGAAATTTCGAATTTTCGTTGAAACATTGGTAATCTACGATTCACGGTGATTCTATTAGTGTTTGTTTCGTGAGTTAAACTTTCAAATTAGATGGGTAGGTGACTGATTTTCAGTTACAAACGTATGACTCGTTTGAAGATCGAGTTAATTCCGTTAACGAACACAACGGTAAACAATACATTTTGTTTGATTATCATTATAATGTCAAACCATGTGAGTAGGCTCCTCACCGAACACTATCGCCGTATTTCGGCTATTTATATTAGGAAATGTATGTATTATTTTATTGCTACATTTCTATTAATATTTCGAAACCATACAATCGTGCTGATAATGTCATGTTCAAACGCAACGATATATTCGTCGCAGGAAAAAGGTATCTCACCGTATCATAAATAATAATCTAATGTTTTTCTTTTTCTTAGGTCGACGAAAACAAGTTTGTGTGGTGAGACCGCCGTCCTATTCTATTCGGCATTCGTTCAGTGACCATCGATTCATCTGTACGTCGCTGTACATTTTGCGCATTATTTCACATTTTCTAATTGTTGTATTGTTCTAACCATTCGTGTATTATCAGAGGATTTTTCACAATTTGGATATATTCGTGAGTATAATTTTGCCGATCGAAGTAATTCAAAAAGTATGTCGTTCGCAGGTAGTGGATACTTCATTGTTTGTCGATCTTATAATAAATTACCGACAGGTAAAAATGAGGTATCTGTGATCGCGTGGATGAAATCGATACGACGAAATTTGATTTGCTTCGGTCGGAAGTCTTCACAAAGCGTGATTGCATTTTTTTTTTAATCGCTTATTAGTTTTATTAAAAATTACTTAGTTTCCGTATCATAAGTTTTTCTTTTGTTGTGGTTTTGCGAATGGTATTAATTGTTTAAATATAACTCGTAATAATATAATCGTTTAGATAATATTCTAGTAGCTTGTCGATAGGCGGCATCGTAATGTGTTTAAAATTATAGGTACCTAGGTATTTTTTTTTCTTTTTATATATGCGTTAATTACTCATGGTCACATGTAATTGCGGAGACTACTTTTTTTTTATTTAAGTCAAGGGTGCGCGACAAATACACTTATGGCTGTCGGCCAAACTTAAAATTCGCGAGCACGGACAGCAACTATTTCGCGCTTAGTGTATGGCATCGTGCACCCACTCTGTATGTCACACTCTATATACGCCGACCGGACCGATCGCAACGGTGTATTCTGGGTTAGTATGTAATTCCTATACCTAAATATATCTCGGTGCGCGACTCTAGTGATTTTGCGCGGGTTATACCTATGAAACAAAATAATAATATTATTTCACTGTAGGTAGGCCCTTCTGACCTTTTTGATATTTATAATTGTCAGGCTTAACTGTCACGTGTCCGCGACCAGATATTATTTCGTGTGTAACGGTCAAACCACACGAGTAGTGCGTGTGTGTAACGGGCTTAACGTAGGAATGGGACTTTAAGGAAAAATGTTTGAAATAAAACAAAGTTGAGTTTTTAAATAATTGCCACAAAAAAAAAAAACTACAAGTCTAATAAATAAATTCACAAAAATATTCCAAGTCCAAAAATAATTCATTAAGCAGAGTGACGCGAAGTTGCTCGCATTTGATCGTCGTGAACTCGTCTGATTAGACGATGATTCGGACGGCGTTAAATATGCTCCGAGGGACCCCCGCAACCCGTCGTTCATAGTGCGGCTGTCTACATTATTTAGTTTATTGTACACTTTTTATATTATTTTATATATCATCGTTAATGTTTTATCATTTTTCGCTCGAATTTTTGTTTTAATCTAGACGAAAAGTTAAACAAATATTTAGGTTTTGATCATGATAAGGAACATTATTCTAACATAATGAAAGATAGAATAGTTGGAGATTTTAAATTCTAATTTACAGTACCTAATCCCAAAGATGAGATAACACAAATCAATCAAGAATGTAATTTTATTATTGGTCGAAATGGACATATAACAACATATAAATTACATTTTGGATTATACTCATTGAAAGAACTTGAAAAAATGTTTAATATTTATCCTGAACATGGTTTATAATAATACATTTACAACAGCAATACTTGAAAAAGGATTAATAAAAATATCATTCCCCTTTAATATAGGTCTCTATTTGTATTTATCTGATTGTTTAGGTTATGAATATAAAGATGTTGAATCACTTATAGGAGAAAAATATTTAAACATTTTAGGTTTTAAATAGCTTTCTCAAAAAAATGTTGAGAAAGGTGAAAGATATTTTACTTCAACTGCTGTAAGAACTCCAAACTTAAATTATGAAAAATATTTAAGTAACATAGAAGGAAATATATATTTTGATAATGGATAAATTACGGAAATTCCTAGATTGAAGTATACCTATTAATCAAATAAAATTGTATTTTAAAAATAAATCTGAACGTTTCCGATAACGTTTTAAATTAAATTAAAAATGACGAAAATAATTTTATGTTTGATAATAACCTTTGTGATAATCTAGGGATTAATTTTGTTTGTTTTTCAATAGTTGGAATTTATCTAACAAGTCTAACCCCCCCAACATTCCTTTAGAATTACATTGCAGTATAATGGAGAAATCTTTATCGAATTATAAAGAAAATGAGCATATTCATTGTGAAGAGGATCTTTTATTTTTTTTAATAATCCACAAGACAATTTATTGTTAAAACCAACAAATATATCATACATTACCTATAAGTGTGAAAGAAATTTAAAATATTAAAATAGATAATTTTGATTTAAAAGTGAATATATTTAATAAATGTACAGAATTTGTTGTTTATCTTAGTTTAATAAACAGGTAATGAATGAATATTTAGAAAAGAGAATGTATGTATATCGCAAAAATTATAATTTCTATAATAACCTTAGTTTATATATACTTATTTTAAAGTTGTTTTCAACTACAATTCGATCATTAGGATTTATTTATTACCCACAACAAGGAGGATTTCTTCCACTTTTTTTTGCTGGAATAGAAGCTGCAAGTGCATTAACTGGAGGAGTAAGTGCAGTTGCAAGTACTATTATAGAAGGAAAACATAAGAGAGCAGCAGAAAAAGAACAAGAACGACATAATAAAGAAATGGAAAAAATTATTAATAATGTTAAAACTTTACAAATCGGATTTGGATTAAAAAAAAACAAAAGTATTCCGGTAAGAGTTCCGGTAAGAAAGCGGCTGAAAGTGCTGACGCCTTGCTAGCGACAGTATCCGGACACGGACCTTCTAAACTCTTAAAGGCGGCGCATCGGACAACCAGAGGTGCCATGTTGGCTGAAGCTCTTTGGAGTGGAAGCCACAACTACTTCGCTGGCCTTTGGGCGGTGCCTGGGGCACGGGCGGTCGTAACCCTTAAGGTTGCTGTCGTGTTTCTTCCCTGTCGACTGGGGATCAGAATACAGCGTCAGTAGGTCCTGCTTTTCGTATGAGGCGACTAATGGCGAAAACCCCCCCCCCCAAATAGGTATGAAGGATGCGAGCTGGAAGAAGAAGGTAGAAGCAACAAAAGCCAAAATTCCGGTCAAGGCTTTCGTCATCAAGGTAGGAGAGGGAGGAGTAGAGGAGGCCAAAAACGTCTGGGGTCCGGTCTACAAGTGGGCTACGAACGACGCGTCTAGGAGTAGGATCCCCCATACGGTGCTTCGCGAGACGGTACCTTTACGGTGTCCGTGCGGGAGACCGCCGAGTGTTTTTTGCAGAGTCTGATCCTCCGGGACCAGCGGGCTCCGGTTTTCGAGCTAGGCATCACGGCTGGTGTACTCAGGAGAGCCCAGTGCGTCATTTCGACGTGTTTCACCAACTTCCTCTCGATGTGCATTCGGCAGTCGTTCTTTCCGGAATGTTGGAAGAGGGCAGAGGTGGTTGTGATCGGTAAAGGCGTGGATGGGGACCCGCATCTCCCTAAGTCGTACAGACCAGTGAGCTTGCTACCAGTTCTGTCAAAAGTGCTCGAGAGACTGGTTGTCGACAGACTCGAGGGGGAGATCGGGGGGCTCTTTCTGAGGAGCAACACGGTTTCCGAGTCGGCAAGTCAACGGCCAGCGCGATCAGACGTGTCTCGACTGGGTGGACAGCAGGAACGACAAGGTTATAGGGATTTTTCTAGATATTTCAGGAGCTTTTCACAACCTCAAATGGGAGGTTCTGATTAGAGATATGGTGAGTTTGGGTGCGTCCGACGTGACTCGATCCATCATTCAAATTTATTTGACTGATAGAAAGGCAGTGCTCTCAGTGAAAGGAGTGACAGCATTCGCGGTACTCATCAGAGGCTGCCCGCAAGGAGTCGCTTTGCAAATCCGCGATAGAGGCCAAACAATTGGCAGACAGGTTAGTTTAGTTCAGTCCAGGTTAGGTTTTGAGTAAGTATAGGGTCGTGTTATGTCAGGTGGATCCGTAACGGCGCGGAATCTATCGAGCAGTCTTTCTGCCTCGCATATGTTACGCTTTGGAGGTCAGGTACAAAGGCGGTTAGGACAAAAAAGACAGTGAAGCTTCTCGGAAATTCACAGCGTAAGGCACTCCTGTCGCTTACGGGGGCATACAGGACCACGTCTACGGACGCACTCCAGGTGGTCTCCGGTCAGATGCCCCTGGACATCAAGATCGAATGGAATGCTTTGGTCAAGAGTTTCAAGTCTAAGTATCTATCTGTAGAGCAACTTCACGAAAGTAGGGAACGTCTTCCTGGACTCATGGCAGGAGAGGTGGGATAACTCGCAGAAAGGCAGGTCCCGGAACAGGGTAATGTAAATAGAGAAACACGAACCCCCGAAAACGAATAAATCTATAACCACGCCCATTGTAGAATCCGACGTAATATATCGTAAGTTCTTATCCCATATCACCCCATATGATAGCAAAATTCATATCGGCAACAATAATTCTACAATTTATCAATATTATGCCAGTAGGTATTCGAAAGTGTACCTGTCCGCATCTCGAACCTCATTAACTCCACTTTATTTTGCTATTTTCGTTTAAAAGTGTTTATTTTATTCACGAACTCGTAATCGTTCCAAATTTCATACGCTCTGTTCGATTAAATTATTTTTTGAGTCATTATCAGATACTTATTCGACAAACACACTATGGTATTATTAATTTACCGTTAAACACTCCTACNTAGGTATTCGAAAGTGTACCAGACCGCATCTCGAACCTCAATAATGCCACTTTATTTTGCTATTTTCATGTAAAAGTGTTTATTTTATTCACGAACTCGTTATCGTTCCAAATTTCATACGCTCTGTTCGATTAAATTATTTTTTGAGTCATTATCAGATACTTATTCGACAAACACACTATAGTATTATTAATTTACCGTAAAACACTCCTACATCGTTTTCATATACGTTTGATTACTATTCGCCTTGGCTCGTTCGTGTTTCTCCGTATACACTACACGACATATTCATCTCGTGAGCATATATTTTTACGCATTTTTTTTTTTTCCTATTCAATTTATGGTACGTAATCGTTCGATTACCTTATAAAATAACTTATAACGTCATTAATAGTCGTATNGATTACTATTCGCCTTGGCTCGTTCGTGTTTCTCCGTATACTCTACACGACATATTCATCTCGTGAGCATATATTTTTACGCAATTATTTTTTTGCCTCTTCAATTTATGTTACGAAAGTGTTAGATTACCTTATTAAATAACTTATGACGTCATTTTTAGTCGTATTTGAAGCTTTCGGTGAAAAAATTGGAAATTATTGTTTTTATTCGATAAGACGATCGAACTATGAGTCATATCAGAACTTGTCTCTTCCCCTAACAAAACTGTATATATTCTGTTGAAATACGTTATTATCTTATCTTTTCCGGGTACTATACCCGATAATGGCCGCCAGAAATCTTTTCCTGATATTTGACCCTATAACCACGCCCAATGTCTTATCCGATGTAATATATCGTAAGTTCTTATCCCATATTACCCCATATGATAGCAAAATTCAAAACGGCGACAATAAATCTACAATTTATATATATTTTATGCCAGTAGGTATTCGAAAGTGTACCTGTCCGCATCTCGAACCTCATTAACGCCACTTTATTTTGCTATTTTCGTTTAAAAGTGTTTATTTTATTCACGAACTCGTTATCGTTCCAAATTTCATACGCTCTGTTCGATTAAATTATTTTTCGAGTCATTATCAGATACTTATTCGACAAACACACTATGGTATTATTAATTTACCGTTAAACACTCCTACTTCGTTTTCATATACGTTTGATTACTATTCGCCTTGGCTCGTTCGTGTTTCTCCGTATACTCTACACGACATATTCATCTCGTGAGCATATATTTTTACGCAATTATTTTTTTTCCTATTCAATTTATGGTACGAAAGTGTTAGATTACCTTATTAAATAACTTATTACGTCATTTTTAGTCGTATTTGAAGCTTTCGGTGAAAAAATTGAAAATTATTGTTTTTATTCGATAAGACGATCGAACTATGAGTCATATCAGAACTTGACTCATCCCCCGCATAAAATTGTAGATATTCTGTTGATATACGTTATAATCTTATCTTTTCCGGGTACTATACCCGAAAATGGCCGCCAGAAATTTTTTCCTGATATTCGACCCAATAACCACGCCCAAGGTCGCGAACGAACTATGAGTCATATCAGAACTTGACTCTTCCCCCGCATAAAATTGTAGATATTCTGTTGATATACGTTATAATCTTATCTTTTCCGGGTACTATACCCGAAAATGGCCGCCAGAAATTTTTTCCTGATAATCGACCCTATAACCACGCCCAATGTCGTATCCGACGTCATTTATCGTACTTTCTTCTCCCATATCACCCCATATGATATAGAAATTCATATCGGCGACGATAATTTTACAATTTATCAATATTATGCCAGTAGGTATTCTAAAGTGTACCTGTCCGCATCTTGAACCTCATTGACGCCACTTAATTTAGCTTTTTTGTTTAAAATTTTTATTTTATACACGATTTCGTTATTCTCTAATCTTTTCCGGGTACTATACCCGAAAATGGCCGCCAGAAATTTTTTCCTGATATTCGACCCAATAACCACGCCCAATGTCGTATCCGACGTCATATATCGTACGTTCTTCTCCCATATCACCCCATATGATAACGAAATTCATATCGGCGACGAAAATTTTACAATTTATTAATATTATGCCAGTAGGTATTCGAAAGTGTACCTGTCCGCATCTCGAACCTCATTAACTCCACTTTATTTTGCTATTTTCGTGTAAAAGTGTTTATTTTATTCACGAACTCGTTATCGTTCCAAATTTCATACGCTCTGTTCGATTAAATTATTTTTCGAGTCATTATCAGATACTTATTCGACAAACACACTATGGTATTATTAATTTACCGTTAAACACTCCTACTTCGTTTTCATATACGTTTGATTACTATTCGCCTTAGCTCGTTCGTGTTTCTCCGTATACTCTACACGACATATTCATCTCGTGAGCATATACTTTTACACAATTATTTTTTTTCCTATTCAATTTATGGTACGAAATCGTTCGATTACCATATAAAATAACTTATAACGTCATTAATAGTCGTATTTGAAGCTTTCGGTGAAAAAATTAGAAATAATTGTTTTTATTCGATAAGACGACACTCCTACTTCGTTTTCATATACGTTTGATTACTATTCGCCTTGGCTCGTTCGTGTTTCTCCGTATACTCTACACGACATATTCATCTCGTGAGCATATAGTTTTACACAATTATTTTTTTTCCTATTCAATTTATGGTACGAAATCGTTCGATTACCTTATAAAATAACTTATAACGTCATTAATAGTCGTGTTTGAAGCTTTCGGTGAAAATATTGGAAATTATTGTTTTTATTCGATAAGACGATCGATCTATGAGTCATATCAGAACTTGTCTCCTCCCCCACACAAAACTGTAAATATTCTGTTGAAATACGTTATTATCTTATCTTTTCCGGGTACTATACCCGATAATGGCCGCCAGAAATTTTTTCCTGATATTCGACCCTATAACCACGCCTAATGTCTTATCCGACGTAATATATCGTAAGTTCTTATCCCATATTACCCCATATGATAGCAAAATTCATATCAGCGACAACAATTCTACAATTTATATATAATTTATGACAGTAGGTATTCGAAAGTGTACCTGTCCGCATCTCGAACCTCATTAACGCCACTTTTTTTTGTTTTTTTCGTTTAAAAGTGTTTATTTTATACACGAACTCGTTATCGTTCCAAATTTCATACGCTCTTTTAGATTAAATTATTTTTCGAGTCATTATCAGATACTTATTCGACAAACAAACTATGGTATTATTAATTGAAAGTGTACCAGACCGCATTTTGAACCTCAATAATGCCACTTTATTTTGCTTTTTTCGTTTAAAAGTGTTTATTTTATACACGAACTCGTTATCGTTCCAAATTTCATACGCTCTTTTAGATTAAATTATTTTTCGAGTCATTATCAGATACTTATTCGACAAACACACTATAGTATTATTAATTTACAGTTAAACACTCCTACTTCGTTTTCATATACGTTTGATTACTATTCGCCTTGGATCGTTCGTGTTTCTCCATATACTCTACACGACATTTTCATCTCGTGAGTATATACTTTTACTCAATTATTTTCTTTCCTATTCAATTTTTAGTACGAAAGTGTTAGATTACCTTATTAAATAACTTATTACGTCATTTTTAGTCGTATTTGAAGCTTTCGGTGAAAAAATTGGAAATTATAGTTTTTATTCGATAAGACGATCGATCTATGAGTCATATCAGAACTTGTCTCCTCCCCCACACAAAACTGTAAATATTCTGTTGAAATACGTTATTATCTTATCTTTTCCGGGTACTATACCCGATAATGGCCGCCAAAAATTTTTTCCTGATATTCGAACATATAACCACGCCCAATGTCTTATCCGACGTAATATATCATAAGTTCTTATCCCATATTACCCCATATGATAGCAAAATTTATATCAGCGACAACAATTCTACAATTTATTAATATTATGCCAGTAGGTATTCGAAAGTGTACCTGTCCGCATCTCGAACCTCATTAACGCCACTTTTTTTTGTTTTTTTCGTTTAAAAGTGTTTATTTTATACAGGAACTCGTTATCGTTCCATATTTCATACGCTCTTTTAGAGAAAATTATTTTTCGAGTCATTATCAGATACTTATTCGACAAACACACTATGGTATTATTAATTTACCGTTAAACACTCCTACTTCGTTTTCATATACGTTTGATTACTATTCGCCTTGGCTCGTTCGTGTTTCTCCGTATACTCTACACGACATATTCATCTCGTGAGCATATATTTTTACGCAATTATTTTTTTTCCTATTCAATTTATGGTACGAAAGTGTTAGATTACCTTATTAAATAACTTATTACGTCATTTTTAGTCGTATTTGAAGCTTTCGGTGAAAAAATTGAAAATTATTGTTTTTATTCGATAAGACGATCGAACTATGAGTCATATCAGAACTTGTCTCTTCCCCTAACAAAACTGTATATATTCTGTTGAAATACGTTATTATCTTATCTTTTCCGGGTACTATACCCGATAATGGCCGCCAGAAATCTTTTCCTGATATTTGACCCTATAACCACGCCCAATGTCTTATCCGATGTAATATATCGTAAGTTCTTATCCCATATTACCCCATATGA